TATATATATATATATATATATATATATATATATATAGTTGAAGTCTTTATAAAGATATTTTTTTTCTTCTTTTTTAAATATTTCCCATCAACAGAAATTTGAAACAGAGCAAGGAAATTTTCACAGTATGTCTGATAATATTTTTTCTTCTGGAGAAAGTCTTATCTGTTATATTTCGGCTAGAATAAAAGCAGTTTTGAATTTTTTATGAACCATTTTAGGGACAAAATTTTTTGCCTCTTTAAGCTATATTTTTTCTCGATAATCTACAGAACAAACCACTGTTATACAATAACTTGCCTAATTCCCCTAACCTGCCTAGTTAACCTAATTAACCTAGTTAAGCCTTTAAATGTCACTTTAAGCTGTATAGAAGTGTCTTGAAAAATATATAGTCAAATATTATTTACAGTCATCATGGCAAAGATAAAATAAATCAGTTATTAGAAATGAGTTATTCAAATTATTATGTTTGGAACTGTGCTGAAAAAAATCTTCTCTCAGTTAAACAGAAATTGGAGAAAAAATAAACAAGTGGTCTAATAATTTAGGGGGGCTAATATTTCTGACTTCAACTGTATATATATTAGAGCTGTGAACCTACACTAGTCTCACGGTTCGGTTCAGTTACGATTATCGTGCCATCGATTCGGTTCAATTCGATATCTCGGTGCATTGACGATGATTTTTATACACAGTTTTATATTTTCTTCACAGCAGCAGTTCTTGTATTAAAATGTATGAATATATTTATATTTATATATTATTTGTAATACAATTTTTTCGTTTAATACAAACATTCAGATATATAAACTGTAACTTTAAACAAAATGAGCATTAAGCAAATAATATAAACAAATATAAACATCCAGCTCAATTTCTGATCCTTGTCTAGTTCTCTTACACCTCTTTGATTGGTCACACCCTCAACAAAAACGGTTGCGATTGGCTCTTGTGCGCTGCGCTCTTCAGATAAGTGACACTGATACGTGGCAGGCGGCAGCGGCGATCTTACAGCTGATGTATGATAGACACAGTGGAGAAAACTCTGCAGACACGCGCTCGTTTCTGTATCCAAACGTAATGCTGTAAAACAGCCGAGAGGAGAAGAAAAGCCACCCCAGCAGGTCAAATGGGCCACTGTGTGTGTGTGTGTGTGTGTGTGTGTGTGTGTGAGAAAGAGAGAGAGACAGAGCGAAAGCGAGAGCGAGAGAGAGAGAGAAAAAGAGAAATGGAGTAGGCTACTTTCATTCTCTCGATCTCAGTGAAATAGGGGCTATTGTTGTATATGTCAGTGAAAGACTGATCCAGCAAACACACACAGTGAAATTGTGAAATTTATGAGTTTTAAGTAGTTAAAGCGCTGTAAATACTCGCGATCGCCTCCCTCGCGACGATATGAGGTAAATGACGTCAGTAATAACCGGTTATGATTATTACTGATCCGATACCGAATTGTCTGCGTCTGCATCGCGGTGCACTGAAGAAACGATTAATTTTGACACCTCTAATATATATATATATATATATATATATATATATATATATATATATATAT